TCTTGTCTTAACTCCAGAAGCCTGAGAGGCTGTAAGTCCAGATAAGGGCTTAGTTCAGATAAACACAACATCACTTCCCACACAGTGGCCCACACTGGGATGGCAGGGAAATCGAACACTTTCTAACACTTGGCCTCCTTTCACTTCAGTGAACCTGTGAACCAGTGTGGAGAGGCAGTATGGAGTAGCAGAAAGGACAATTTTTCATGCTTTTTTAATATAGAAAAAGCTTTAGCCTGCACATAAACTATGGCGTATGTTCTGGAAGAGATTTGAAAGTATAAAGAGAAGAAAGTAACTAATGGGGACATGGTCTTGGTCCTGGTGATGGCCAGAGAAGTGAGAGTAGAAGCTTTGATCCAGGGATGATCTTGAACACCTCTTTTTCAGAGCCTGGAAGAAAAGCAGTGAGAATAGATGTGGCTGCAGACATACTTGTTCATGTCTTAGTTTGAAGCTGAGAAAGTTCATGCCTAGTTCCTTCATTTTTTGCTGTGAAGAGTAATTTATAAGTGAGAAAAGATAATATCTTCCCCTTACTCATCTCAAGAGTCATAATGGATACCCCATAACAAAAGAGATTAACAAGAGAAAAGCATAACAAATTTATTGAAGCAAAGTTTTATGTGACACGAGAGCCTTCAGAAGACCCAAAGACCCAGGGAAAACTATGTGTTTTTATGGGCAATTTTGCAGGAGTTTGACTGGAGGACAAAAGGGTATATTCTAATGGTAATAAACTGGGGGGAGCTCAGCAAGGCTTGTTTGTCCAGATAATTTTTGGCCTCTGGGTATAGGGAAGGACTGCTCTGGAATGGCGATCTTATGACCTACTTTAAGAAGAAGTAGGTTAGAAACTTTATTTTTAGATGACCAGGCTTCAGAGGTAAATGCAGGAAGAAGATCAGAGTATGATCTCCAAGGTGCCATATTTTGGGGTATCATGTTCTGAGCCCTGACAAAGACAAAGCCATCTTCTAAGAGATTTGTGGAAGAATAAGGATTAGGATTTGAGGACAGTTGTGGTGTTTGGGATATCAAGTGTCAAAGTGGGGAATGTTACCTCTTAGGGACAGAGAAAAATTTCCTTGAATCAGTGAGTATACAACCAAAATTGAATACTGTAAATGTGTATTTTTATCAATATGCCGAGTGGTGTTATTTCTCCACCAGTTCAGAATAGCCTATATGTAGAAAGGATAAAGAAGAGTGGTTGGAAAGAGCTGACCACAAAGTTTTGTAGGATGGCTGCAGTAGGAAACCTAAATATAAAGACATTGAGGATCTAGTGAGAATGGTTAAAGGGATTCACCCTGGTGGTTCCGTAGAGAAGGAAGCAAAGCTATGAAGTGAGTGAAAGATCAGAGTGAAAGGAGTGAAGGTTTCTTTGAGGTAGAAGGGTAGTTGTTCTTGGAATAAGGAAATCAAGGAGCTTGAAAGACCTGAGTGAAATATCTGCATGTGAGATCTGTGTATATCTTCTAGATAAGAGATTAGCAAACTTTTTCTGTAAAAGGCCAGATAGTAAATATTTTCATCTTTGTAGGCCATATGGTCTCTGTTACGACTTTTCAGCTCTGCCCTTGAAAAGCATGAAGGCAGTCATAGACAATAAGTAAATAAATAGGAATGGCTGTGTTATAGTAAAGCCTTATTTACAAAAACAAGTGGGAAGCCAGATTTTTCTCAAAGGCTACATGTAGCTTGCCTGACCCTTGTCATAGATGATGACAATTTCCAGGATATGGATGAAGTTAAGCAGATTTGAAGACTGTTAGAAACCAGGGGACAAAGGTGCTTTAAGATTAGCATATTAACTAAAACCATCTAGATTATTAATCATCTATAGAACATTCCACCCAATGACAACAGAATACTACACCTCTCAAGTGAACAAGGAATATTCTCTAGGATAGACCATATGCTCGGTCATAAGACAAGCCTCAATAAATTTAAAAGGACTGAAATCATACAAAGTATATTTCTCAATCCCAGTGGAGTGAAATTAGAAATTACTAACAGAAATAAACTTGAGAAATTCACAAATATGTGAAAATTAACATACTACTAAAGAGCCAATAGGGCAAATAAGAAACAAGAAAAATTAGAAAATGTTTGAGATGAATAAAAATTAAGACACAACATAACAAAGGTGGGATGCATCTAAAGCAGTACATAGAGGAAAATTTATAGTATTAAATGCCTATTTTAAAAAAGAAGAAAGATCTCTAATCAGTAACTTAAACTTTCACCTGAAGACACTTAGTGTATAAGAGAACAGGCACAAATTAAAAGGGTCTGAGGTGGAATGGAAAGAAAGTTCATGTAGAGAAGTTGGCCATAGGTAAAAAAAAGAACAGCTTCTTTTTGTAACTGGAGGGTAGGAGAAGTGGATTGATGGTTTATGTGTTTGCTATTGAACAGATAATAAAGATCCTCTCTGCTGCCTTCTATTTTCTCTGTGGTTTCTCTTCCTACTTTTTCTGGAGTTGTAGTCTTTTGCAGAAGGTACAAGAAAATGGATCATTGGAGATTTGAAGAAAGTGAAGAAAAATTGAGATAGTTTTCATGTAAGCAGTTGAAATAGTCTTTGTGTACAGTTAAATAAAGAATACTGAACTTTTCAGGCTTGTTGAGAGTCTGTTTGAGGCTGGTGATTATGAATTATAAAAGAACTACTGATCTTCCCTATTGTGTGATTCCTGCAGCTACATTTAGCTATGTGGGTGAAGGCACAAAAAAGGCAAATGTTTGCATTCATATAGAGCTAGGATTTGTGCCAGATTGGTGGGATGGAATGATAGAGGAGCAGGGAAATTTAGGATATTGAAATGATGGGCTATGCTCAACAAACTGGCTAAAGAAAGGGAAAAACTAATTAATGGAGACCAAGTGGAGGGGTCATTTAACTGGTGGTCACCAGGAGGGCTAATATCCAAATCAATTCCATGAGGGCAAGGACTCTGTTTTGTTCACTAACGTATCCCATCACCTGGAATAGTGCCTGGCACACAGTAGGCTGATCATTTAATAAGCAAGCTGGAATAGTGATCATCCAAGCTTGGATGAGTGATGGAGGAGGGTATCTATTATAGATAACATCTGCTATGCCTGATATGCACACACAGTGAGTTCTCAGTAACTATTAGCCTTTAGTAGTATGCTTTTTGGACTTTTATAGGAACTACATATTTTCAGAGAAACAATGTAGAGAACTATTTATCTGTAAATGAGTGAGTTGAACTTTCCCAAATGAGTATCATTTAAGGCCACTGGAACAATTAGGGTGGTTAAATTTAACCTCGTATTGATAGAATACACACACACACACACACCGACACACACACACACCCTACTCCCCACACACCCCCAGTAGAAATGATCTTCCTTTTAAAATTAGCTTAGTCTGGTTCTCAAAGCCAGAAGCTCAGTGTCCTTAGTTCTAATGTTCTCATTTGTTTTCTGTTACTTATCACAAGTGTGGACAATTTTATATTTGTATTGCTGAATCACCTCTCTAAAGTATTTTGACCTTTCAGTAGATTTTGAAAGGCCTGTCTTTTGCTTTTTGTCTAGGGCTGAAGTCTCATTCAAAAATGGGTATGACTGTTTACCGAAGGAGGCTGAAATGATAATAAATCTAACTTTTAAACAGTGCCAGTGTTTTCACAGTTAAATGAATCAAAGAGATATTTCAATTTTGAGGATTAAGAAATATTGTCCTTCATATTCTTTTCAGACAACTTGTGTGTCTTTCAGATGCCTTTTTCAGATGACCTGTTTCTCCTCCCATAACCCAAGGTGTAATTACTTGAACACAGTAGATATTTAATAAGTCTGTGCTGACTGATCTCTAATAATAAAATAAGCAGCTCTCTGAAATGCCCTTCTCTCTGCCTCTTTGCATGGCAAATTTCTTTTATGCTTTAATTCAAAGATCACCTCTGAAATCATTCCCAGCTCTTATAGTCAATATGAATATCAGCCTCTGTGGTTTGGGTAGTTCATACCCATTTGCCATTTTATCGCCATTATTTACTTGTACATCTGTTTCTCATTCTTGCCTTTTATCTACCAAGGAGCAGGGACTTTGGCTTATTCACCTTTAGGGTTGCCAGTGCCTTGCACGTACCTGCCATATCTGAGGTGCTGCAGACTTGTCCAGCAAGTGACTGTGTTACAGGGGGAGAACTCGTTCTATAAGCACACTGTAGCCTTTGGATGGCAAACCCTGCTCTCTAAAGGTTTTTGCCTGTATAATTTTCTTGTAGTCAGGATACCACTATCAAGTGCACCATGATTCATTGATTATGGCTTTTTGATCCAGCCAGTAGTGATTAGTTTAGAGGAAGGTTAGCATTTTTTCCTATACCCACTTCTCTTAAATTATGAATAATGCATAGTTGATACTCTATAGATTTGTTAAAAATACAGATGTCCACCAAGATGTTAACCATGGCCATATTTGGGTGGTAGTGTGTTTGTTTAACTTTATTCTTCAAGCATAATTATTTCATTATTTGAAGTTTCTATTTCAGGAGATATATATATATATTTTTAAAAACTTTTTAATTTTTAATAGATGGTACATGGGGGAGACAATTAAGAGAAATAAATGTTTTGATACAATTTGGAACTAGTCAGGCCTAGATCAAGATGAGCCAGTCTACGGGTTGGCAACAAATCTCAGTTATTTAGGAAAGCAGAGATCTGTTTGTTCCAGGTTCACTGGGACCCTTCCACATCCAGTCTCTCAGATCCAAGCCTCCTCCATCTCAAAGTGGCTTCCAAAAGTGCTGTAGCCAAGAAAGGGAAAGACTGAAGAGACTAGCCACCTCTCACCTGGCTGGGCACATGAGACTTGCCTTGGCCAAAATGACTCCTAAGGCCCCAAGCATACTGCAAAAAAGAGTGGAAAATGCAGGGAAGCATTGGAATCCAGTACATGGTGAGCACCAGTTGTCTTTACCAACATGACCATAACTCTTTCTGTTTTTCAGTTACTGTAATGAATGTATGTTGGATCCAGACTGTGGTTTCTGCTACAAGATGAACAAATCAACTGTCATTGATTCCTCCTGTATTCCAGTTAATAAAGCATCTACAAATGAGGCAACGTGGGGAAGGTAAGTCACTCATTACTTAACACAAGAATATACAATAAAATTTCAAAATGAGGCTTATGTTTAAGTTTGGAGAGTATCTGCACTTACAGTGGCACTTTTAAACTGTCTTTCATAACTACTTTACTTTGCAGCATACAGTGGTGATATGAGTGCACAGCTTTGCCATGTGTGTGTCACAAACTCGGAGTGGAAAGCACTTAGGCCTAGACTTTTGGAGATCCAGATTTCAGACCCAACTCTGCCTAATAAGCTACAGGAGCCTGGATCTTTAGTTTTAGGCAGGTGTTCCCAAATACTGCCAAGGCAATTTCTCCCACTGTATATTGTTTATGCTGTACTTCCAAACTTCAGTGAAAGACAGAAAATTGTAAAGTCAAAATGAATTATCATCACATTAAATTTTTTTGTTGAACCACTTCTTTCCTAGAGTTCTTTTCCAGGGTTCAGTAAAATTAAGCAAAATAAGAATAAAAGTTGGTGATCACTGACTTGGAACCAGTCTGGGAGGCTATAAAACCTTTCTCTTTTTGGTAAAACACATTGGCTTATAGTATACATGTAAATGAAATATTTGTGTGGAATAAATACTCTCCGCATTTATGAATTTAATAGTCATATCCGTGGACACATAAAATGTGTAAATGTTATTTAACATAGTTTTAACTTCTTTTGTGTTTTAAATTCCCATAAAAAACCGTACGCTCTTATCCTGTCCACCTCATGGTACTGAGTCCATGAAATTTGCAATAAAGTACATGTATCTCCTAGGAGCTATAAAGTGTAATGTATTAGTATTAATCATTATGCAGTCCTCATTAATCATTTTATTAGAGAATTACTCCAAAGGAATAGAAGAAAATTATGTGTTAGTTGAGTAAAATCCCAGAGCACATTTTAAATACACTAATTACAAAGAAGTATATAAAAGAAATGCAATTAGTATTTAAAATGAACACTTAACAGAGTCTCCTTTAAAAATACCCAGTGTATAATTTTCATCTGGCCAAACTTGATTAGTGAGTTAATTCATAAATATTTCTGGATGCTCTGGTTCATAGCTTTAAACCCTTAGGGTTTTTTGTTTCTTCCAGTAGAAAAAAGAAACTGAAAGTTACTAGTCTAAAATGATGAACATATTATGAAATCTGTTAGACTAGTAAATATATGTAATTTTCTGTATTTCACAGAATTAATTTGTAAACTTATTGGAAATCTCTACTAATAGTAAGGGGGCATTAAAATTAGACACTTCTCTTACCCTCAGTTTAGAAGGGTTACTAGTCGGAGATCTCAAAACAGGAGTTTTGTTCTTTTTGTGAATAACAAATTGTACAACATTTTAGTGGATATGCTTATTAATTTCTTTATTTCAAAAAGATTAATTTAACAACTTATTCATACATTTTATTTATATTTTTATACCATCATCCCTTGACTGCGCATACTATTAGAGAAAAGTGAGGCACAGGTAATACCTAAGTAGGAAAAGTAAAAATAACTAAAAAAACATGAAGAATTTTGATGTTCTTAGTATATTCTTAGAATAGTCTCAAACTCTTTATAAAAAAGAAACAACAACATCTATGTGTTCTTACTCTTCCCCGTGTGGAGCGACCTCTCCCCTTCTGGCTTGGTCATTGCTATTGGTCACCTCAGTCTTAGCTAGAAAGAGAGCAAAAAAAGCAATACATGTTCACCATGAAAAAATTCCTAGAACAGATTTTCTATTTGTAGGTAAAATAACACTCAGTATATTTTTGTTGGTAGATTTTATACAATTACCTAGAATGGAACTCTCAGGGCAAAATCTACCACTACCCTCGAGTTACATCTGAGATAAACTATAGATATATCAAGGTCAAATATTAAGGCAATTCATAGTCGTATATCCCTGGAGCTGTTTTCTAAAAAGATGGCAGGTGGAAAAGCAACACCATTTGTGATGGAAATGGTATGATAATTTTGATAAACTGAATTGTCAATATAATTAAAACCATTTGTCCATATAACCAACTATAATGATTAATTGGAAATAAAACTTTTCTATATCTCTGTAGTTTAATTTGAATGAAAAAAAAATTTTTTTTAATCATTTAGCAAATGTCCAAAAATGTAGTAGACTGAGCTGATGCAGGAAAACCTCCTCTTGCTCATTACTCGCTACCCCCACACTCCAGCATGCCCCCACACATAGCAAATGCAGGCTTAATGCACAGCTGAGCTTGAGCAAAATCCCCAAGTACCACAAACAAGAGCAAGAGTGGTGAGCCCACATGGGAATATCAGGAGAGAATGCAGGCCTCAGGGGTGAGAGGTTGGGGTTTTAAGTACTGAGGAAGATAAAGCTCCAGGTCTTGCCTCAGCGGCTATAAAGCACCATCCAGGCTCTGAAATAGGGACAAGAAAAACTCTGTCTAAATAGGCTGGTCTGGACAAACTACCTACTTCTCGGCTGCTCACTTGGGACCTCGAGTGGAAAGCAAAACGGAGAGCCTTCACTGTGGGGAGTGTGTGCTCTCATTTCACGCTGCCTTTCTGAAGTAGGAACCATGCGTTGAGAAATACAAACACTAAAAAAATTCAATTAAAAGTGGGTCCTAAACTGGAGACGTTCATGGAGCCACATTAGGAGTAAACATGCAGTCGTCAGAACCAAGTACGCATGAGACTTCTGTGGAAAGCAACTCCTGGTAAATACAAGAGGACAGTCAAAAAGTACAAGCTATGCCACTTAATGAAGGTGAGAAAGCCACCAGGTGTGACAGATGGACAAATGAATACCTAAAGAATCTTCATTACAAAAAAAAAAACAAAAAAAAAAACATTTGAAAGAGATTTTAAATAATATACTTAAAGGAAAACAAGGAAAAATATAATTTTTTCCATTATACTGAAAGCTGTACACTTATGATTTGTTCAGTATATATGTGGTTGTATATATACAACATATATGTTATAATTTAGCAAATTTTGCAAAAAAAACTCAAAACTTGGGAAGCTGATGTTCTAGATCAGAGATCCTCAAACTTTTTAAACAGGGGGCCAATTCACTGTCCCTCAGACTATTGGAGGGCCGGACTATAGTTTAAAAAAAACTGAACAATTCCTATGCACACTGCACATATCTTATTTTGAAGTAAAAAAACAAATGGGCAAAAACACCCGCATGTGGCCCACAGGCCATGGTTTGAGGACGCCTGTATCTAGATAAACAATATACAATGTGGTATAGGAACTTTTAGAACAAAAGCCCTCTAAGGACTTTTTTATTGGTTTTCTTGGGAGGGGGGAGTTTTTTTGCTTTTGTTTTTGTTTCCAGAAGAAAAAGGAGATTATAAGTAGATTTTTCAATTTGTTAAATATAGATGTTAAAAACATAAGTATAATCTGTTAAAAATATGAACTATTAGAGGGAGAAACAAGACAGTCAAAATAATGAAGGCAGAGTGGGAAAAATAACAGAGGAAACTATGCTTAAGAGAAATCACACACACACAAAAACCCAACCCCACAAAATTAAATCTAAATGTAACTGTTATAACATTAGAAAATAAACCAATTAAACATATCAAAGACAAAAATTCTCATGTTGAATTTGTTAATACAGTTGTATGCTGTTTATAAGAGACAATCATAGGAAGATTAGAAATAAAAGGAATAAAAAAATTAGATAAGTGCCAAGTTAAGATAAAAAAATAGAGATTAAAGAATTTGGAAAATATATAAGTTGTTATGAGTTAAATAATGAATAGAAAATTTCATTCTTTTGAAGCAAATGAAACACTTGTGAAAATTTACTGTGTTCAAGTACAAAGAATAAATTCAATAAATTTATGTAGATGTATGTATATATTTCAGTAAATTCTAAGTAAATCCACATAATATCATGCAGGACGTGTTCTCTAACCAAAATAAAATAGAAACTGCAAAAAATAAAAAGATACTTATCACCCCTTCTAATTTAATTTGGAAACTAAAAATAACACACAGAGAACAACTGTAAATTAATTAATGGGTTAAGGAGAAATCATAAAGTTTAGAAATAGAACATAGAGTAAGCCTGTAGCGTAAGTGAAGGATGGAAATTAAGATAAAAAGGGGGCGTGGAGAATGCAAAGCAAAGAAGTACTAGAGAAGATCAAAAAACAAAAGTTGGTTCTTAGGGAGGACTAATAAAATGTAGAAACCTCTGGCAGTAATTGTCGAGAAGAGAGAAAAGGCACAAATAATATTTAGAATTTAAAAAAAGAAATATAACAGTAAAGATTTTTAAAATTATAAGAGACTACTGTGAATAATGTTCTCCAGTGCATTTGAAAACAAGTAAAATGGACAGTTTTCCATTTTCCAAAAATATAACTTTCCAGTACCAACTCAGAACCTCTGTGAAATAAGTGTTTTCCTCAAAGTCAAATGGCCAGTAAGTCTACCTCTGTTAGGGGAGCAACAACTGAGTCATAGAAACATGCACATTTTAGATTCAGATAGTTTGAGATTTGGGCTTTTCACATTTACCTTATAAGTGACACTAGGACAGCCTGAGCCTCTTTGAACCCCATTCTAAAGCTGTATCATGGGAATAATATAATTGCTGTGTTGAACAATATGGTTGTTATGTAAATAAGAGCATATCCGAAGATAATTATAAAAATGTAAAATGTAAAAATGACCTATGCAAAACCATTTTGTGCTAATTTTTCTTTTTTTCTTAGATTTGTCAATCACATGCTCTCTATATTAGAATAAGCACTTCCTATGGATAAATGCCTTAGTATACATTTTATTTATATATCCGCATCCATTCATCCATCCACCTCCATACCTCCTAGCTCTCCATATACACAAAACCATAAATAATCTATTCTGGAACTTCAAACCTCCTAACTATTTAAAATAATATTGCAATTGCTAATTGCTTTCTTAATGTGCTGATTCAGTGTTTGTTTCCTATAATACAACATTTTAGCTCTGTAATTAAAAACACTAAAATAGCTAGATAG